GTTTCTGTATTCTGTACTGGTGCTTGTTATTCTGCTCAGGTGATGGTGCTGGTTAGTGTACTCGCCGCTATTGCCTCTTATTCTTGGTGATTGCGGGGTTCCTTCGGGTGTCTGGCAGTGGGCTGAGATGGTGTATAGTCTCTCGTCCAGTACTGGGAGTACCTTGTGAGACACCGCTGCATCAATAATGGGTGGTATCGCTACTTTGCCACACTGGGATATCAGGCAGTTTTAGCCGTGGGTGTGGCCGCTAGCACGGTGCAGTGGATTCGTTCGGTGCTCTCCTCCTGGTGTGAGTAGTTCGGGTCCCCCCTCCTGGACAGAGTCGTTCGGGCCCCTCCTCGATGTGTGAGTCGTTCGGCGAGGGGCCCGAACGACTCACACCGATGTGTGAGTCGTTCGGCGAGGGGCCCGAACGACTCACACAAGGAAGGGCCCGAACGACTCACACCAGGGCGAGGGGCCCCAACGACGCACACCACCTGCATTCTGGTCGAGGACGTCGCCGTCGTGTGAGTCGACAGAGTCGGTTACGTGTAGGACTCGAGGACGACCGCCTTCTGTCTTGCCTCCCATCGCCTTCTCTCCCTCCTCCTCTTCCTCCTCTTCGGCTCCTAGTCGTAGTAGTAGAAGTAGTACCAGTAGGATCAGTTGTAGTACTAGTAGTAGTAGTAGTAGTAGCAGTAGTAGTAGTAGTAGTAGTAGTAGTAGTAGTAGTAGTAGTAGTAGTAGTAGTAGTAGTAGTAGTAGTAGTAGTAGTAGTAGTAGTAGTAGTAGTAGTAGTAGTAGTAGTAGTAGTAGTAGTAGTAGTAGTAGTAGTAGTAGTAGTAGTAGTAGTAGTAGTCGTAGTAGTAGTAGTAGTAGTAGTAGTGGTATTTCCAGTATCAGCGGTAGTAGCAAACGTAGTCGCCAACGTCGTCGTCGCACTAGTTGCCTCAGTAACAGATGCAGTGACTAGAGCAGTGGTCTGTATGGAAGTTGTGGTCGTAGTAATATGTAGTGGTAGTGGTAGTAGTAGTAGTAGTAGTAGTAGTAGTAGCAGTCGTAGTAGTAGTAGTAGTAGTAGTAGTAGTAGTAGTAGTAGTAGTGGTAGTAGTTCTAGTAGTAGTAGGACAAATCGTAGTACGAGTATATCTGGTAGTAGTCGTCAGAGTATTTGTAGTTGTAGTAGTACGAGATGATGTAGTCAAACGAGTATGAGTAGTAGTAGCAGTAGTACAAGTAGTAGTACTCGTAGGGGAACGAGTAGTAGTAGATGTCTTTTTGAAAGCTGCTCGGAGGCCTCTTGGGGCGTCTTCGGCGCCTCTTGGGGCCTCTTGGGGACCTCTTGGGGGTATCTTTGGGGCCTCATGGAGGCCTCGTGGTGCCTCCTGGGGACCTTGTGGGCCATCTGGGGACCTCTTGGGGCCATATGGTGGACCTCTGGGGGCCCTCTTGGGGGGCTTGTATGAGCGCTGCCTTCTCCTGGTGTGACTCGTTCGGGCTCCTCGTGGTGTGAGTCGTTCGAGACCCGCGTCGTGGTGCGAGTCGTTCGGGCTCCTCGTGGTGTGAGTCGGTCGGGCGCCTCGCCCTGGTATGGGTCGTTCGGGCCCCTCCTTGCGGTGTGAGTCGTTCGGGCTCTTCGTGGTGTGAGTCGTTCGGGCCCCTCGTCCTGGTGTGAGTCGTTCGGGCTCCACGTGGGGCCTCTTGGGGGCCTCTTGGGGGCGTCTTGGGGCCTCTTGGGGGCCTCTTGGGGACCTCTTCGGGGTATCTTTGGGGCCTCATGGAGGCGTCGTGGTGCCTCCTGGGGACCTCTTGTGGGCCATCTGGGGACCTTGGGGCCATATGGTGGACCTCTGGGGGCCCTCTTGGGGGGCTTGTATGAGCGCTGCCCCTCCTCCTGGTGTGACTCGTTCGGGCTCCTCGTGGTGTGAGTCGGGCTCCTCGTGGTGTGAATGGGTCGGGCGCCTCGTCCTGGTGTGAGTCGTTCGGGTGGTATGAGTCGTTCGGGCTCCTCCTGTGGTGTGAGTCGTTCGGGCTCTTCGTGGTGTGAGTCGTTCGGGTCGTTCGGGCCCCTCTCCTGGTGTGAGTCGTTCGGGCCCCTCCTCGATGTGTGAGTCGTTCGGCGAGGGGCCCGAACGACTCACACAAGGAAGGGCCCGCACGACTCACACCAGGGCGAGGGGCCCCAACGACGCACACCACATGCATTCTGGTCCAGGACGTCGCCGTCGTGTGAGTCGACAGAGTCGGTTACGTGTAGGTACGAGGACGATCGCCTTCTGTCTTGCCTCCCATCGCCTTCTCTCCCTCCTTTCTTCCTCCTCTTCGGCTCCTAGTCGTAGTAGTAGAAGTAGTACCAGTAGGGATCAGTTGTAGTACTGGTAGTGGTAGTAGCAGTAGTAGTAGTAGTAGTAGTAGTAGTAGTAGTAGTAGTCGTAGTAGTAGTAGTAGTCGTAGTCGTAGTCAGTAGTAGTCGTAGTAGTAGTAGTAGTAGTAGTAGTAGTCGTAGTAGTAGTAGTAGTAGTAGTAGTAGTAGTAGTAGTAGTAGTAGTAGTAGTAGTAGTAGTAGTAGTAGTAGTAGTAGTAGTAGTAGTAGTAGTAGTAGTAGTAGTAGTAGTAGTAGTAGTAGTAGTAGTAGTAGTAGTAGTAGTAGTAGTAGTAGTAGTAGTAGTAGTGGTGGTAGTAGTAGTAGTAGTAGTAGTAGTGACAGTAGTATCAGTAGTCGTAGTAGTAGTAGTAGTAGTAGTAGTAGCAGGAGTAGTAGTAGTAATATGAAAATTAGTAGTAGTAGTAGTAGAAGAAGAAGAAGAAGAATAAGAAGAAGTAGTAGTACTAGTAGTAGTAGTAGTAGTAGTAGTAGTAGTAGTAGTAGTAGTAGGAGTAGTAGTAGTAGTAGTAGTAGTCGTAGTAGTAGTCGTAGTAGTAGTCGTAGTAGTCGTAGTGGTAGTAGTAGTAGTAGTAGTAGTAGTGGTATTTCCAGTATGTAGTGAAACGAGTATGAGTAGTAGTAGTAGAAGTACAAGTAGTAATAATCGTAGGGGAAAGAGTAGTAGTAGATGTCTGTTGGAAGCTGCTCGGAGGCCTCTTGGGGCGTCTTCGGCGCCTCTTGGGGCCTCTTGGGGACCTCTTGGGGGTATCTTTTGGGCCTCATGGAGGCGTCGTGGTGCCTCCTGGGGACCTCTTGTGGGCCATTTGGGGACCTCTTGGGGCCATATGGTGGACTTCTGGGGGCCCTCTTGAGGGGCTTGTATGAGCGCTGCCCCTCCTCCTGGTGTGACTCGTTCGGGCTCCTCGTGGTGTGAGTCGTTCGAGGCCCGCGTCGTGGTGTGAGTCGTTCGGGCTCCTCGTGGTGTGAATGGGTCGGGCGCCTCGTCCTGGTATGAGTCGTTCGGGCTCCTCCTTGTGGTGTGAGTCGTTCGGGCTCTTCGTGGTGTGAGTCGTTCGGGCCCCTCGTCCTGGTGTGAGTCGTTCGGGCTCCTCGTGGGGCCTCTTGGGGGCCTCTTGGGGGCCTCTTGGGGCCTCTTGGGGGCCTCTTGGGGGCCTCTTGGGGACCTCTTGGGGGCTCTTGGGCCTCTTGGGGGCCTTTTGGGGGCCTGTTGGGAGCCTCTGGATGCCTCTTGGGGGCCTCTTGGGGGCCTCTTGGAGGCCTCTTGGGAGCCTCCTGGGGGCATCTTGGAGCCTCTTGGGGGCCTCTTGCGACCTCCGCAGAAGCGCAAATGAGCGCTACCCCTTGAGAAGGACAAAATGAGCCCAACACCTTCGTAAACTCAATGATTTTGAGAACAAGGAAGAGGAGCGCTGCCCCCTCAGAAGGCCAAAATGGGGCCGAAACCGTAGTAAAATCAATGATTTTGGTTTCACAGAAGAGGAGAGGGTTCTATGTGCGTCCCCCCGTCGGGGGCAGAATCCTCGTGAGGGGTGTCGTTTTTAGCCCTCCCAGGAGTCGAAAAAGACCCCTCTGACCACCCGCCGCCCGCCCTCTCCAGACCCAGGGGGAGGGGGTAGGGGGAGGGGTAAACCCCTCCCCGAAGGGGAAGAAGGGGGTTGGGGGGTTGAGAACAGAGAAAGCTCGCTAAACCACTCACGCCCAAAGGGCTGGTGGGATTTGAATACGCAGTGGACATGCAAGGTACTGCCCCCGATATGTATGAGTAGGCTAGGAGGCGGGCGGGGCAATGAAAATGAAGAGGGGTCCCAAGCGGGGACGAGCAAGGAGACGGGGAGGAGTAGTAACAGGGTACGTAACAATATAATATTGGGTGACAGTGTAAATCTGGTCTAGATCAGGGCTGGTGCAGGACGTGAACCATAACGGCCTTCTCAGGGTCATCTGACGATCTTGTGGTGACCTCCAGTGCAGTTCGCCAGTTGTCTTTCAGCGGAAGGTGATCAGGGGGGCTGCGATCATTTGCTGCAGGCCTCTGATTCCTCGGGCGCCCGCACTCGGTCGCCCGCAAAGGCGCAAAGGTAACCGCGCTTCGCCGAATCGCGGCTTGGGCTGACGGGGTGCCCGTTGTGGGAGTGCATTACCAGAGATCGAGGAGGACCGCTTTTTGCGCTCACGTGGCGCGACGCGCGGCTGGAGGCGTTGCCGGGGCGAAGCCGGCGTATTTGGCCGCCCTCCAGTTCGGCTGGTTGCTCAGAGGTCCTCGTTGCTCCAACCGATCCTCGTGTCGTGCCATCTCCGTTCGCGCGCTCTCTCCGTCGCCCCACTCCCCGCCCTGCGAGGTTATGTTGAGGTGCGTCTGGTTGGCCAGCCGCGGGGGCGCGAAGAAAGCCGCGCCTCGCGGCCTGGGCCGGAGAGGTGCCCTGGCTCCAGAGGCGGAGGTGCGGGGGCGGCGCCAGGGCGCGAAGAAGAGCCGCGCGCCCCCCTTCTGCGTTCCCTGTCGCACGCGCCCGCTGTCCCGCCTTGTTGTAATCATTGTTATCACCATCGTTCTATCTCTCCTCTCTCTCTCTCGATTTCGTCCTCGCCCTGCCATATGATGTGGCTTCCCCGCTCCACCAACCTCGACCAGCCCCTGCCGATCGGCGCCTGCCAGAAGCTTTTGCACCAGTGCTGAGCACCCGCAATGGGCTGTTTCGTTCGGAGCGCTGGCTACGCTACGCTGGCAAGAGAAAAGAGCAGAAGGAGCACGCTCAAGAGGAGGAGCAGAAGGGGGTAGAAGAGAAGAGGAGGACCAAAGGTGCAACAGAGCTGTTCGTGTATGGGAATCGGAGACGCAAAAGGGTACGGTGACTGGGGAGGACGAAGAGGCAAGGGCAAGTGTAGGAGGAGCCAGATATTGGACACAGAGCAAGTGTGAAGGGAGTGGGCAGTGGTGGGGGAAGGTAAAGGTGGAGCCATGGGGGGGGGCGGGATTGTAGATTATGAGGAGGATGGCGACGATGCGTATCGGGTCTGCGGTATGCGTTTGTGGTGTTGTCGCCATTATCGGGGAGCACACTGAAAATCTGTCGATTGGGTTTCGGTTTCGTCATGACATCGGTGATTCTGCTCCGACCACATGTAGGAATCAACAGCAGGAGGGGCAGGAGGGACACGAACTTGATAATCCCTGGGGAAAGTTGCAAATCGAAGTTGCTATCATCTTATGTTGATTAGCAACAGCATCAAAAACGCTGAGCATGGCACTGGTGGTCTCACCACTGCAGCTTCTGCAATCACGAGCGTGTGGCCGAGAGCTACAAGGTCAGCTTACACGAGCGCATCATCATCATCATCATCATCATCATCATCATCATCATCAGCATCATCATCATCATCGTCGTCGTCGTCATCATTATCACCATCAGCATAACATCACCTTCGCCGGAAAAAAAACTGATTGTCCCCGCCAGACCCCCGAACTTTGTTATCCCACGGAGATTATTATCGTCCGGAGTCGGTTAGCGACATGAGAATAGGGTGAAGGGTGAGTAAGACATGTGGAAGATGCGGGTAGAGAGCACCAACATAAACAAACAAGCAAACAAATAAGAGTGGCAAGCCGTAGGGAGTTCTGTCTTCTAAATCAAAGCAAACGGTAGGAGGAAGGAGGGGGAAGAACGTCACGAGAAGTTTCAGGAGGATGAAGAGGAGGAGGGGAGGAGAAGGAGGAGGAGGAGTGATAGTAGACGCAGGAGGGATACTGACAGGACAGTTCGCCCCTCGGCCCCCGAGCAGCCCCACGCGAAGGGGTGAGTAGACCTACACATACATACATACATGCATACATACATACAAACATACATACATACAAACATACATACAATAGTACGTACGTGCATGCATGCATACATACATGCATACATGCATGTATGCATGCATACAAACATACACACATACATGTATACAAACATACGCATATATACATGTACATGCATACACACATATAGATACAACCATACATGCATACATGCCTACGCACATACATGTCTACATACCTACAAACCTACATCCCTACATATAGACAGACATACATATATACACGCATCCACATACATACATACACACATACATACAGTTCATGCATACAGACCTACCTGCATGCAGACAGACGTACCTACATATTCACATGCATCCTGGCCTAACACGGCCAGTGAACTGTCTGACATCAATTCCCTGGCCCACAAATGGCAGAGACAAATCCTGCCCCCCCGTGGCCACAAACTGCAAGCGACAGATCCGCACCCCCCAGCCCAAAAGTACCATCGACATATCCTCACCACACTGGCCTGAAACTGCCAGCAAACATCCCTCACCTCCATGGCCATAAACTGGTAGTAATATCCTCGCCATCCTGGCACCCTTGGCCTAAAGTTGCCGGCGAACTATCCTCACCCCTCTGGACCAACACGAGCGAAATACCCTCACCACCCTGGCCTAAACTGCCTGCGAAATATCACACGCCCTAGCCCGACATTGGCAACGACATATCCTAGCCTCCCTGGCCCCCTGGTTAAGTGCTGCCCGCGGAATATTCTAACCCCTCCTGGCTTAGACGTGCCAGCGAACTGTCCTCACCACTCTGGCCCAAAACTGCCAGCCGAATCTCTGAACTCCCTGGCCTAAAAGTGCCAGCGACATATCCTCACCACCCTGGCTGAAAACCGCCAGCGAAACATCCCCACACCCTAGCCCCACAATAGCAAAATCTCCTCGCCCACCTGCCGCCCCCCCAGCTTAAATACTGCCAGCGGACTATTCTTACCCCCCTGGCCCATCCTAGCCTAATCTTCATCCCTTGGCCCACGACTGGCAACGGCATATCATCACCCCCTTTTGTTCCCCTTCTTGAAGGTCGCCAAGGACTTGTTCCCCCCCTCTGGCTTAGGACGCTTGCGAACTATTCTCACCACTCTGGCTCAAAAACCGCGAGCGAATTACCCTACCCCCCTGGCCTACAAGTGCTAGCGACACATCCTTACCACTAGCAGCCCTGACCATTCCGTTCAGTTCATGCAGTTATTCAGACCAGTACACCTGACAAGTATCAACTACCTGGGTGCTCTCGTAATTAATGAGGGAGGAGGATGAGGAGAAGGATGGGGAAAACGAGGAGGAGGAGGAGGAGTTCGATGAGGAATCCGACAACATGATGGCTCAAGCCCAAAGGCATTGCTCAGGGTGCTTGGGAATGTGGCGCGAGGATTTTCGCGCGCCAGCCTCGTCGTTGGCAGGATTCGATGCGATACCTTTTCCCGTTGTAAATCCGAGTGCTCTGCGTGCTGTCATTAGTTTTTCTGGCGCGGTGAGTCGCCACCACAACTGGCGGAACAAGGCCAGATGTGCCATGCAGTAGCGTCCTGCACCTTTATCCCCTGCCACTGGGCTCCCTCGCCGTGAGATCAGCAGCAGCCAGCAGGCGTCTAGGGCTAAGGCGACGGCAAAGCCGCAGCGCAAGCAGGCCGACCGTGGTCGAAATGTGCAGGCCGACGAGGAGGAGGCCGCCTGGCTCGCCATGGGCGATGCAGTGGCTGACCAGTCCGCCAACCTCCTCTAGGTCGTTGCCGCGAAGGTGCGATACCATAAAAAACCTCGCGTCTGCCGCGGACAACATCCATCGGGCCGAGTGACTCAGGGCCTCTGTGGATTCCCTGGAGGAGCACTTGGTTTCGGCCCGCGAGCATGCCGCCTTGGCGGAGCAGGGCCTTGCGCTGATCCGCCTGCTCCTCGGGGTGCTGTTTCCATCTGGGGCGCTGCCCCGTGAGCTCCAGCAACGGATGGACGAGGGCGCAGGACGCTGGCGACCTGGGGCTCCTCGCGCAGTCGTTGCAGGTGCCGGTAGTGGCGCCGCCTTCTCAGCCCTGAAATTGACGGGCGATGCCGCCGCCCGCGGACCCCGCCGCGGCCCCTCCGGTTGGTGCCTTCGCCGCGTAGTCCCAGCCGCCCGTCGGCGCCGCCCCCGCGGCCGTGGCGGGCGCCGACGGCGCCGAGCAACCAGGAGGTCGAGAGAGCAAGACGACGTGGAGCCGGCGGACTCAGTCGGGCAGCGTGGCGCAGACGCTGCGCCGAACATCGACCTCGTTCAACGACATCGCCGCGCCGCGTTTTTCTAGGCTCTCGCCGCCATACGCGCGGCGCAGCATGATTTTCATATGATCCATGCTTCTCTCTCACACCGCTGGCGCTCCTGAGCGTCCTCCCACTACATAAGTTGCACCCGAGTCTCAGCGTAGGCGGGGGCCGTCGTCCGCAATCATCGGGAACCAATGCAGACGGACGCGCCAACCGTGTGCGCGACTCCCACGAGTTGCGCCGCGCATGCCAGGAACGCCACGTGCGCCAGGTGCGTCCGGTGCCGCATGAGCCCAGACGTGCCCAGTGCGCCAAATGCGCCACGTGCTTCACATGCGCCCAGTGTACCGCGTGCTCCAAGCGCGCCAGGTACCCCACGTACGCGTCGTGCGCAGAGTGCGCCAGGTGCGCCATCGTATACATTGCACCAAAAGAGGGATTATTGGGGACACATTGGCTTTGGTCGGTCGCCGGTCCAGTGGGCGAGGAGGTGTCCCTACCAAGGAACAGTTGTAACCCTTCCCCGAAGGTGAAGAAAGATGGCGAAGTAACTGATTCGCTAAACCACCTGAGCCCAGAGTGCTGGTGGGACTGCAACTAAAGGGGATTGCGGGGCAGTGTGCTGTCCATGACCAAATACTCATGGCCGCAGGCAAGCGCCCCCATATGTGTTCTTCTGTTTATGGTGCCCGAGCGCCTTCGCATCGCGTTGTGGTGTGCGCAGCCCGCGGGATACGGTGCCAGTCAGTAACTGTCGGCTCGCTCCATTGCGTGCCTGCACGGGGTGTCCGACTACGCGCGGCGGCCACGCGCTCAGGGAGTTGTTTCAAGGTTTCATGCCAGTCGCCAGGAAGGCGGCCTCTGAGTCGACCGAGGAGAAGGTGGAGGCGGAGCAGGAGGAGGAGAAGGGAAGAGGAACACCAGAAGGTGCAGGGAGGGAGGAAAGTATGGCACGCGGACGAGGAGCAGCAGCACCGTCCGCGTCCGAGCCCCGTTGGGCTCGAGAATCCGAGGCGACCCCTTCTCCTCCCCCACCCCCCGGCGTTGTGCAGGCCTGCTGCTGGGACGGGGGAAGGGGGGCGTGTCTGTTTCTTGCTCTAATCTCTGCTCCCCCCATCGCCCCCTCCCTCCCCGATCCCCTGATGCATCCCTCCCTCCCCCTACTTCATCCTTCCCTTCTCCATACCTCTCCTTTCGTCCCACTCTCCCCTCCTCCCTCCCCCGCTTCTCCCTCCTCCAGTCCTCCCTCCTTTCCCCCTTCCCCCTTCATGCTCCTCCCTCGTCCTCCTCCTCCTCGTCTCCTCCCTCCTTTTCCCTACCATCCCCCGCGCGAGCGCAAGTGCGGGGAGGAGGGCAGATGCAGAGCAGCCACTGGCTGCGGAATATTCGTCGGCGGCTAATAAGCACGGTGTCGGTTGGATCGACGTTGCCGATAGGATGTATGATCGTGGAACGGAATGAGAGGGAGGAGGGGGGAGTGAGTACATGGGAGGCAGAGGGATGAGGAAGAAGAGGAAGAGGAGTGAAGTATGAGGATGAGGAGGAGGCCGAGAGACCAGAGTAAACCCAATATGAATCAACGATGCCGAGATGGGCCCACCCGTTCCAAGTTCCCTTGTAGCCAGAGTGCTTACAGTAAGTCCTTCTCACTGCGGGAAGGGTCCCCTTGAAAGACGAGCGCCCCAAGGCCTTGCAATTCAGACAAAGAGCTGCCACCCGTGCTTTCAGCTGGTACGGGCGGTCCACATGTTGTTGTTGTTTGCACGTCTGGTCGCAATACCCCCGATCGGACAAGGATCCGCCCTCCACTCGTGTAGCTGAAGAACAGTTCTACATGTCGGCCCAGAAAGGGTGGACATCTCAGGCGGATCATCCAATCAAGAACACTAATTTCCGCCATCCGCATAATTGTTGGAAGCTTTTTGGACGACAGTGCTCGTCATTGAGGCGGGAGTCAGTATTTGAACATGAACCGCCCTTTCATCCATGGAGCTGCTGGAAGCGTTTAAGAAGAATCTGCGCGTCGCTCTGGCGGCAGCCACATTCTGAGAACGATCATCCCTTCACCCGTTTGAGCGTCGGGAGCTGTTAACACGCATGCACGCGGCGCTGAACCGAGATACACATGCTGAAAATTGCCCTCCGTCCGTGCAACCGCTTGACACTGTTCATCAAAAGAGTCGCTGAGGCCGACGCCGCGGCATGCTGAGCGTGAGTTCCCTGTTTTGGTGTGTCTTGGGTTGCACTGGCCCCTCCTCCCTGTTCCTCGTCCTCCTGTCCCCGTCTACCCGAATCGGGACCATTGCAGGTGCTGGAGCTCACTGTGCATCCGCGGTCGTTGGCCACGGATTGAATGTGGAACTATCCATGTATGTTCGCCATCGCTTGCAGGACAGCCCGTCGATGCGGCTGGACGCCTCTGTTTCGCTCGCGTGCCCACCTACAGTAGTCGATTGGTCCCTGTGCGGCCCAATCCTCCATTCTTACCAGCATTCACTTACGGCGTTGGTGAACAAAACATGTGCGCGGCCATGTTGTCGCCTCCTCTGCTTGAGCGCGGCACGTTCCCCACGGACCCACCCCTAGGAGAAAGCGCTCCCGCGGGGCGGGAAACTTGCCTTTCGCACGTTGGGGCGGCGGACGCACGCGCCGTTCGAACATCGGGCGCCCAGCAGAAGCCCCCCCATTGGCCCCCCTCATCGGCCTCCCCCCCCAACAACAAATAAGCAGGACACAGCCAGTCTATCTCGTTGTGCGCGAAGGTCGGGGAACACCTTTGGCCGATCGCTCGGAAGCGGCCGCAACGGGATCTCCCAGAGGTAGTGTCGGCATTGCCTTGACCCTCTTCCTTTTCGAACTCCTACTTCTTCTTCCTCAATATGATTATCCCTTATGTTTCTGCTCTTGATGTTTACACATTATCCTCCTACTCCGTCGTAATTATCCTCCACCCCCTCTCTCCACCCCGTGCCTTTCTTATTAAATCGCTTCGCTCATTCCGCCGGCCCGTGATATGGCATCGCTGGTTTTCGTCTGTGTGTTCGTTGCCCATGTTGCGCTCTTGGGGGCGGGTGTCGTTCGGACGCGTTGCGTGGGGAGTTTTGATGGCGAAGCAGTTCCCTGGGGGTCGTCTCTCGATGGGGCGAAATAGGGTCGTCGTCAAGATGCTTCTTTGGGGGGCCTCTTGGGGTCTGTTGAGAGGCCGTTCGGGGGCGCCTGGGAGACATGTTTGAAGCCTTCTGGGGCTTCTTTTGGGCCTCCTGGGAGTCTCCTGGGGCCTCTTGGCGACATCTTGGGGCCTCTTGGAGGCCTCTTGGGGCCTCTTTGGGACCTCCTGGGCGCCTTCTGGGACGGAGGGCTCCATTTTTGAGTTCTCGGTATCCCTCCTGAGTCCCTCTTGGGCCCGTCTTGGGGCCTCTTGGTCCGTCTTGGGCGGCACTTGGGCCGTCTTGAGGGCTCTCTTGGGTCGTTTCGGCGCCGTCTTGGGAGCTTCGTGGGCCGTCTTGGAGCGGTCTTGGGGGCCTCTTGGGCCGTCTTGGAGCGTTTGGAAGCCGAAAAAGCCAAAACACAAAAAACATAGAAAAAAAACAATGAAAATCAACGATTTTGGCCTCTTGGGGCTCTCTTCGGAGGCCTCTTGGAAGGCTCTTGGGGCGTCTTGGAGGCCTCTTGGGCTGTCTTGGGGGCCTTTTGGGCCGTCTTGGGGTCATCTTCGGCGTCTTCGAGCGCTCTTTGGGCGTCTCGGGGGCCTCTTGGGCAGTCTTGGGGGCCTCTTGGGGCACTCTGAGCGCGCTCTGGGGAGCCTGAGAGGCCGCACCCAGAAGGAAAACCATCTCTGAGTAGACTTGGTCGGGCGGCGGTCGGGCGGCGGTCGGGCGGCGGTCGGGCGTTGGTCGGGGTACTTTTCGCCGGGGGACCCCCAGGGGCCGCCCCGCGCGCGCGAACTAGAAATACTGTTAATACTGTTAATCAGTTACCGGAGATCTTAGCACGCCCTGGCCCGTTGGGCCGGCGAATTTTTGTATGAAGAGTATACACATGTAAACTTGTATTGTGTAGTACGTATATAAGATTCACAAGTTCGCCCCATCCCCCTCCCGGGGGTCCTATACCTCCTTGTGACATCTGCGTTACGTTCCCGGTACCGCGCGATCCGGTCTCCCAGGGAGCCCCTCAAACTCCCAAGGACAGCCCAAGACGACCCCGAGGAACCCCGGAACGTACAAGAATGGGCCAAGACGCTCCCAAGCAATCCAAGATAGCTTTCGGGCGGTTCTCCAGGCTCCCAGGGGGCCTCCAAGATACTTCAAGAGAACTGCATCCTCGCCCTCCCCCATCCTCCACCACCTCTCCTGGCCCAGCCGATCGGCTGCCGGGAAACCTCCGCTCGGGGAGTCGCGCCATCACGGTCACTGGCATTAGGTGTACAACGTCTGCTGACCTAGCAAAACCTGACGGTCTAGAACGGGCCAACGTTGCCCGAGTGTTGCGCCAGTCGCACGGACATGTTACAAAGTCAGTTGGTCTGTGCAATAGCGTCGTGACGCTTGCGGGTAACATTTCAAACATGTAAACTCGACGATTCACATGCGTTCGGTGCCCGCTGACGCGCCTCAAGCATGGGCCCCTGGAGCTCCTCGGGGACGTCGGGAACCCACTTAAGGTTCCACAAACAGAAGAACGGGTTTGGCATATTGTCGAAAACCGAGACAATGAAATCCAGGTGATTTTTTTCGTCCCGCCCTTGTGTTTCTGAGGTATGATGTGCCAGGGCCGTGCGGGGGCCATCCTCAATGAGCATTTCGGCTCAAAAAAATGCCGCCCAATCTTTCCTATCCCAACGCGCTGAAGGATGGGCCACGTTTCCTGGTTCCCGCGGCGGTGGCCCAGGCGGTGCGAGGTTTGCCTCACGGGGCGAGGAGGTTCCTCCCAATGGAGTCGCACGCGTTGCTGTCGCTGGCACAGGAGGCCCTCGGTCGACCCCAGATAAACTTGTCAACCCTTGCTGTGCAAAAGCCTGGGGGGGGGGGGGATCCTCTGCCCTCGCATCAATTGATGTGGCCGCGCGTTATTGAGATTATGCGTCTACCGATGGTAAAGATCATGGACGAACGTTGTTGCCGTGATGGGTGGGGGCCAGAATGAAAGAAGCGGCGTCAGCAACAAGGTCTGCGCATTGTGAGCGTATTTGATGTATTGGGCACGGCGAGCTCTGTCCCTGCGCCGGCACCCGCCCCCGCGTTAGACGAAGGCGGGTTCTCGACGAACGTTTTAGCCCCGATCTCAGTAACGAAGTGCGTGGATATCGCGACGGAGTTGCGCGCGGAGACAGCTGGAATTCTGTTTGACGAGCGCCAGGTCAGGGGCGCCGTGGCGCGCGTGATCCTTCGCGTCTTGGAGCCGCTGGTGCTGGTATCCAGAACGATCGCGAGGTGCGATCTCATGCGCGATGTGTTCGGTGCCGCCCTTTCCGTCAGGCTTCTTCGACATGGCCCGGCGTCGCTTTTCGAGGTCGATATCCCATCGCTGTCTGACGGGGGGGGGCCCTGCTCAGCTGATGCCGGGGAGGCGCGTGGCCGCCGAGAAGGAGACATTGAAGTTAGGCAAGGCGAAGGAATCTCGCGCGCGCGTCGTCGACGATGCCGGCGCGACGCAGCCCGCGAATGACTGGGCGCCGAGAGATGAGAAGCCGCGCGCCACATGTGTTATTTCGACAGCAACGCTGAGATTCGCACTGGATAGCATTGCGCGTTTCAAGAACGCGCCACTGGCAACTTTGAAGCAGAGATGCGGATGCGGGAGGCGCGCGGGCATCGGTAATAATATGACGCATTCGATCGGCTGGTATCTAGGTGCGCGTTGGGCAAGCGCGCCGCGCTGCGCGATGACGTCTTGGATTCCGTCCCCAGAGATCAGACCCCCCAGCCCAGCGGGTCGCCCCACGTCGGCTTCGCGTTCGCGAGCGACGAGTTCCCGCCCGCGGGGTCGAGATTTGCAGGGTTCCGCTTCCAAATATCCCAACTACATTTGAGAGTTCCCGTGGCAGTCTATT